ACACCTTGTCATCTCAAATCCATTCCTACTCTGTTGACAATGTCAAGGGTCACTATTGACCACCTATAACCCAGTTAAGATTCAACTGCTTAAAACCTACTTCAGAATGATCAGGAAAATGGTCTTTCTTACGTTCAGTTACAAAAAGTGGGCATTGAAGACGAAAAAATGCCTCTAAAAATGTGAATAACGTGTAAGCAAATATTTGAGGTATAATAATGATCTCAACCTCTTCAACAATACTGAGGGAAACAGGTTTTCAAGTGAGGAAATTATTTTTAGCAGTGAAATATTGAGACATGTTCTCGCTTTCCAAGAAAACCCTAATTTTTTTGTAAAAAATATACTGGCTGTTGTCACATGCAAGCTGTAAACATATGGCAAATATTGCTGCAAGTTTATATGGCAATGAGCAAAATGAAAGCAGTGTAAACAGTTTAATTTGTTTTGGCTGCACAAGATGTAGCTTACAGCAAAACATGAGAAACGTCAACATATTTTTAAACAATAAATCATTTCAGAGTGATTCTCTTTAAGTTGCTAATCATCATAAATTTTATCTCTGTAACTGTCAGAGGGCAGCAGATCCAGAGACAACAACTGGCAGAGATCAGTCAGACAGACCTCAACCTGCACTCAGCTTTGTTCATATTTGAGATGATAACTGGGGTTAGTACACAAGTTGGGCACGTTTCCTACACTGCAGGAATCTCGAGGCCAGCGTCTCCCAAAACTAGAGCCTCCAGCAAGCACTGTTGGTGAAAGGGAATACCGCAAGGTTCCAATTCACCGACCATACAGACTTGCCACTGGGTCCAAGTCCTGGCACTCCATCCCAAACACTGCTGCAGGAACAGCCTCACTAAGTAGAAAGCCCAATGGTTCAGGAAGATGGACAACACATTCTGAACTTGTCTGAAATTTCTTACATGTATACAATGTAGATATAGAGGCCATTCGGCCTATTATGCCTGTGTTGAGTTTTTGAAAAAGCTTGCCAGTCGGTTTCACTCTTGATCCCCTTGATCTTGAAATGTTTCTTATTCATTTGTTTATTCAATTGCTCATCTATTCATCTCCCACCTTCAACCGCGCTCAGGCAGACAAGCTTTGTTATCATCGCAAATATTTTTCTAACTAATCAGTAAACCATTCAGCCCACTATGTAATAAACTGTTCAAGACTTTTTTTTAATTCTACTATAATATTCCCCGAGGTTTTCATCTTTACTTCCTAATGATTTCAGCTCAATCGTGCAGAATTTGTAACACTACATGTAAGGAAACAGTCACAGCTTGGGACAGAACACATGTGCTGTTTTACATTCTCCTCTTGTATCTCAATCCTATATTATTCTGAATAAAAGCCAGTGAACAACCATAAAGCAAGTGTTCCATATGAAGGTAATGAAACAAGATTACAGCTTTGTAGGAGCTGGGAGAACACCACCACCAGCCCCATCCCCACCCCAACTGTACCTAATCTAGATGGTTATTCTTCTTGTGTGAGCTGAATTAATAAAGGTTTGCATGGTGGGGAGAGGTTTACCCATCATGCAATATTAACAGAAACATCTTTGCTCAGTAATATCACTGGCTGTGACAGCCAGGATTAGTAAAGAGGGTTTCTTTACTCCCTGGTTGAAGTGTACAGTGACAAAGTTAATACCCCTTCCTGCCCTACTAAGATCTGTCAGTGTTGGGTTTTGCTCATTTTATAAAGTGTAAGCTATTTGGCTCCTGTCTGTAAGTGCAGCAGGCTGGCTGCCCATATCAGCAGCAGCTTTGGATTTATTGCCTTTTCCATCTTTACCAATTTTGGGGCAGTGATTATCAAGCATAAAATAGGCGTGAGCAGCCTGGTTACCACATTTGATGCTTTGATGGCCATTTTGCTCTTGAAGAATCAATGTGACGCCTTCAAATTGCTTGGCCCGACACCAGATTATCAGCTGGGCAAAGGTGTTAAAGGGCACTGAAATGTCACAGCGAGAAATGATTTCATAAAGCTAATTTCAGAAGAAATCTATTCCTTACCAAAAGTAACCTGATTAAATTTTCGTATAAAATCAATGAGTTTGATAGAGTCAGAAAGAATGATTAACTTTGAGAAAGCATCCTGTTTGTTTTCACTGGAGGTTCAATGAAAGCTGCCAGGATAGAGATAAAGGATTGATTCTCATACCAACTCTATTCAGCACCAATCAATGGACTCACAACATTCACTATCCACATTAAGAACAAAGGGACCTCAGACATCCGTTTCAACATCAGTCCCACAGTCCAGTTTATCATGAAATGTGCAGTTGAAAAATAACCCCTTGAGGTTATATAATAACTTAATGCACACACTGCTGCAAAGGTACATGCTATATCATTACTCACTTTCGTGTCTGAATCACGACCTCCATACCTTCCCTTTGTTTTTGCTTGGGAAATTAACAGCATAATCCATCTGTTTGCAGCAATTAGATTTCGAGGGTGCACTCTTTAAACTTCAATACAGTCTTTCAAAGTGGTGAAGTATCACAACAGACAGGTTTTTAAGTTTAATATTTTAAGTTAAATATGTTATAGGAGATGGACAAGCAAATACATAACATCCATCTTAGATATACTTGTACACTATGTATTTGTAAGTATATATACGGTCAGTGTAGGAGCTAGAATAATCCAAATTGCTTCTTGCAAATTTCAAACCAAATTTTCTCTTGAAATGTTTCATTTCTTCAAAGAAAGCCCAAGTTGAATTTCAACTGAGTATGCCTTTTCTTATATCCTGGTAAAGAGCCACTGGGAAGTCCTGGATTTTGATTGTCTAATGACAAAATATTGTA